ATGAAGTCTCCACAAGTACCGACAGTCAGATTGAGTCGGGATCAAGACATAACAGACATATTGGATCACTGTGGCCAACTATCTGCTTTTGTTAAATTACGGTATTTCATGCAAATGAAACTCCATGCTCTCGATACACAGCCGAGACAGTGAACAACCGACTCTACAGGCCCAAACTGAGCATTTGAACGTAATTTGCACACACACACAAAGACACCTATCCGGTCAACCTCACGACACGTAAGCGGCTATCAACAAATGGATCAAACGGTCGTTGTCTCACAAACCAACCATATTCACCGTGGAGAATTACTGTGGTGAAAACTATTATTCTTTACCCTTTTTTACCGATCACATACCTACCTGTGTTACATTTTGATTGATATAAGTGTGAGAACACATCGAAACCAAAACTTATCCATCATCTTGTATAAGAAGCACTGTATTGGTCATGCGCTGTGTTGCTTTTAATTTGGATATATTTTTTCAATACTTCCCGTATATTGATTTGTTTGTCCGACATTTTAAAAACTTTGATTAGGTTTGACCTTTTTCTGATCACTGAATGCATATGACAAAAAGAGTGGCATACCCTTAATTTTTGAACGCGCGCTGTAGTCGAAAACTGCCTCCCAATCGAACAGTCCTCATGTCGACAACCTCGAAAATCCATCAGGCTGAGTGAGATCTTGTTCGATGGATAACGTTCTAAATCGTCTACATTGTTACAAAGAAATTCGTTTATATGAACATCACATGGTGGTACACGATGAGACGTTCCAGTTACTTCGACCTAGGGGTTACATAAATTTTCGATTACGGAGGCACATGAGGCAAATGTAAAAAGTGATTGAGAGCTCGCGAAAAGCAATGTCGAAATCCAACAAGGCCCTGGGTGTTTTCCAGTTAACGCTATCAATGTAAAGTAGACACACACGTATGAAGCTTCTGTGCACAATTCAAACTTACTGATTCATGTGAAGAGCTTAGCTCCTGGGAGAGCCACAAATAAATACCGAACGCCAACGTGGTTTTACATAGGTGTTGACAAAGTATTCAAAATCGGTTCTGGTAGCTCGGGTGAACTGAATTCCATTTCACCTGTTCGCTGAGCTTGGCAATTGGTTTGCAAACGTTTCATTGTTGCCAGCCGAGGTGATATCATCAGTGCTTGTGAGGTGGCAGTGTTCCGCTTGTACCCGTTCGTTTATACATATGTTCTTCTCCACCGATTATTTTCGTCCCCTGTTTTCACTGTAGTCGACTCGGTTCGCCGTTGAACTGCTTCGAGGGGTTGAGGGTGGTAGGGCGGAGGCTGTCCTTTCTTCGCGATTGCGATTTCCGTCCGTTCTCAGGTCCCGATGTGACCGTGTTTGTTGCGTCATTTGATCGTCAATTTGCGTTGGCGTGTCCACGTGATCCAGTTCAATATGCCTTTTGGTTCAGTTGACTAAGGAGTGCAAAGCTTCGAAAAGTTCTCTGGCGTGTTTTGACCGGGCTTCGTCAACAATTTTCACTGCAAGAACTGTTCAAAATACTATATCGGACAAACTGGGAGACATCTGTCAACAAGAACTCGTGAACACCAATTGGCAGTCAGGAGACATGACCCACTATCGTTCATCTCCCTCCACGAAGATCAAAAACGACATCAATTTGGCTTCGAATCAGTGAAAATTATCGATCAAGCCCGATCAAACACGCCAGAGAATTTCTCGAGATTTGGCACTCTTCATTCAACTCCATAAACAGCCACATCGAACTGAAACACGTGTACAAACCAATTTAACTTTAATGCACCAGTTCAATAGCGAACCGAGTCGACTACAGTGAAAACAGGGGACGAAAATAATCGGTGGAGAAGAACACATGTACAAACGAACGGTTACAAGCAAAACACTGCCACCTCACAAGCACTGATGATATCACCTCGGCTGGCAACGATGAAACGTTTGCAAACTAATTGCCAAGCTCAGCGAACAGGCGAAATAGAATTTACATAAGTGTATTCATTAGCTCATTTTTTGTTCAGTTCGTCAGATTGCCTGTATCCGTTCCATTTCCCGCACCATGCTTTCAATCTATGGGAACAGAATATGGTGCTAGGAAGAAAGCTATTTATGAAATATTTTTGTAACCATATTCTAGATATATGCTCGAAAAGAAGTCCGTACCTGCTACAAATATTGGGGATCGCAAATACTAAAGTATGTGTTCCAATTCAGTTGATCTGTATACATACATCTGTAGCATGAAAAGAAACTGGTTTTGTGAAAATAAAAAGGCGAAAGTTTTGCATGGACTGAGAGGTTTAGAACGCAGCAGGACCCGAGGCCAAACTGGTCTCATGATGATCACACGCATATGCATATAAGTCACCTATCGAGTTTAATTTACCTCTAACCGTCTGTCACTCAGCCGTGCGTCCTGAGAGAGAGGCTTAATTTGTGTATGTGTGTGTGTGAGAGATGACCTAAGAATTACTCTGCTGTCTAATGGACGTTGGATCCCGGGGGAAGCGAGAGGGNCAGTTATGACCCGGATAAGCGCGACTATGCATGCCCCACATATATATATATGGGGCTTGACCTCGATGGATATTTTCATGCGGTAGTTAGTTCAACTTGACAGATCGTCCAAATCCTCATGCGTATATAATACTTCTGAACATCTGAAATATTCTGTGCGACTTCGCATTCTGTCCGTAAAA